ATTAATTCAATGATCATAAAAAATACTAAAATCAGGATTAATATTATCGTATTTTTTAAAAAGTATTATTGATAATATACCGTATTAAACCCGTATATACCCGTATCATATTTTTCCCGTATCCGAATTTTAAGGCCAAATTTTTATAAACGTATTTTTTACCGTTTGCTGTATCATTCCCGTACCGTTTTTTTACCGTACCGTATTTACTAACTATGCTTCTAAGTATTCAATTCAAAACTCTAACTAAAGTATATATTAATATACTTATATTACAAACATAAAAGAATAAAAAATAAAATTAAAATAAAACATCCCTTAATTACAATAAAGTAGTGAACTAGTGATGAATCCAGTTCAAATCAGTTGTAAGGAAAATCTTTTTATTGTACTTAATGAGTAAGGGCAAGATAGAATTTAAAAAAAAAATTAACTTGCAAATTAGTAGAATCCGACGGTGTTAGGGCTCAGGGGTGGCTATTGATTATTTCCCACAAAAGTAACGTAAGTTTGATGATTCCTAAATAGTGAGGGGTAGTTTTGACAATCTCCTAATGTTTTAATTTTTTTTGTAATCGGGGTTTAATTATGGGGATCCACTGAGAATACTCGATAAGTCTAATGGTATTTTTCACAAAAGTGCTATAACACTGCAGTAGTCTAATGGACTATTTCCCACAAAAGTGCTATAACACTTCAGTCTAAGGGAGTATTTCCCACAAAAATGCTATAACATTGTAAAAACTCGAACACAACATACCTATCTAAATGACTAAGACCATATACAAATGCAAACATTAAATTGGTGTAACTTTCACACCAAATTGGTTCAATTTTCATATTATTTTACTATTGCATCTTCAATCTATTATACCTAAAGAAATATTTTTTAGAATATCCTTTTCCTTTTTTCTTTCTATTAATGATCAACAATTAGTTTATTTTACTAATGATTTTGTATATATTAATAAATAGTAGAAATAGTATATTTTATTAATTAACCGCTAATAATAACTTTGAAAGTTATACTACTAATAATAACTTTAAATTAATGTATTATTTTTTAACTATTGAAGTTTAATATTTGCATTGTAATGAAGTTTTGTTTTTAATTTTTCATTATTTTTTTTATTATATAATTATTATAAATATTAATATAAATAAAAACCAAATTAACATAAATACAAATAATAAAAATTAAATAATAAAAATAAAAAAATAAAAAATATTTTAGTGTAAATGAATAGTATCACACCAAATTGAGGTAGATAATAGTGTCATCCACCCCAATTTGGTGTGGCTTTTGGTGTTTGGTTGGAGCAAAATTTGAACATTATTTTGGTCTCATTGGAGATGTCTTAAGGTCATGTAATTCGGCCATAAGACAAGTAGTTAATCTCTCTACAGTAATACTACACTCACAAATTCTTCTTACAAACGCGTAGCACTGTTCAAAGAGGCGAGCCACTCATGAGCCGGCTCAGCTCGGCTCGAGTACAACTCGTTAACGGCTTGCCTCATCTGGAATCAAGCCAGCTCGACTCGATTCGTGAGAGAGCATGAGCCGAGTTCGAGCCAAGCTCGAATTATTAGAAGCGTTTTAGGGGTTTTATAAAGTATAAGGGATTAAACAAAATTTCCAAAACAAAAGTTTGCAAAAATTACGAATGACCCCCAATGTTAAAATCCCTAAAAACGCAACTAAAATCCTTTACCGTAGAACCAAACCAAATCAAACTATTTGCGAAACAGTAGCCATTAGAGATGGAGAGAAAAGAAGAGAAAGCAAAGGAGCAACAAGTAACAAAAACAGAAGAGGAAAATGGGTTAAAAAGAAAAGAAAAGGGTTAGGGGAAAGTTAAAAGATAATAAGTCGAATTTTCTTTTCAATTTGGAACATGAGTTTTGTTACCAAAAGAGATATAAGAAAGCAGAAGAAAATACAAAACCTTGGAGCAAAAGGGCAATGAGAATACCTTCAACGTTGGTGAAGAGAGCAAGGAAACAAAGGGAAAGAAAGTAAGAGAAAATAAATGAAACAAAGAAAAAAGAGAAAGCAAATGAGTATTAAAGTAGAGAGAGAAAAGAAGAGAAAGCATTAACAAATTGAGAGAGAGAAACAAGAGAAAACAAAGGAGTATTAAATAAGAAAGAGAAAAGAAAAGAAAGCGTTAACAAATGAGAGAGAGAGAAAAGAAGAGAAAGAAAGGAGTAATGAAATAGACTGAGAAAAGAAGTACTCCTCCGCTTTTCTTTAAAAGTCCTTTTAGCCTTATAAATTTATTTCAAAATAAATGTCGTTTGGTCAAATGCAACACTCTCTCTCTCTTTCTCAAAGTATGCCTCTATCTCTTCTCTCTCTTTCGCTCACCCTTCATCTCCTCTCTTTCTCTCTCTTTCTCTTTCTCTTTCTCTTTCTCTTTAAAATCCATTTATTTTTCATCCATTATCATTGTCATTTCTCACGCACTTTAAGCAAAGAGAAAAAAATTTTACATTAAAAAATTAATTTATTAAAAAACGATACAATAACTTAAAATGACTTTAAAAAAAAACGAAAGGAGTACTAAATTAGAGAAAGAAGAACTGCTGTTAATTTTTTTTATTGGCCTATGAGGTGGCTCTAACTTGGCTGATAAGCCAGCTCGGGAGCCAGACTCGAAATCCTCTCCTCATTTCACGAGCTACGTTGAGCTAGAAAATTAGTGATTCAGCTCAGCTCCGCTCGAACTCAAATTCTCTTTTCCTTTTAGGAGCTAAGCTGGTTAATCCAAAAATTCAACTTGACTCGGCTAAAAAACAACTCTATAAATTTGATTTGTTAGTTCATGATTGGTCAGTTTGAAATGAATTTCATCTACCCAAATGCGATCCGATCAATTACTAGCTATCATATTTAGAGATTCAACTCAACTCGAACTCAAATTCTTCTTTTCTTTCACGAGCTGAGCTTGTTAAACCAAAAGCTCGGTTTAACTCAACTTGAAAACAACTCTATAAATATGATATATTAACTCATAATTGGTCAATTTGTAATAAGTTTTATTTATCTAAATATAATCTATTACGAAATATTACATCAACATTTGTTTGAAGAATTTGACAATCTACCCTTATCCTCTCCCGTGTTTTTTTTGGAATATGGAATTATGTTATCCTCATCCATCTCCTGTGTTTTTTTGGAATATGTAATTATGTATGACGAGAAACGGGTAGTGGAAGCAAAGTCCGAGAAGAAGAACCTTCCTTCTGGGAGAGGCAAGCTAAAGGTAAAGGGGCATGGTGGGCCTATAATTTAATAAAGTGATGTGTCCTTTACTTTACCAAATAAAAATTTTAATATTTAATTTGACTTTACCCTTTTTTACACAATCAATCAAATCCAACCATATGCATCATGTACGGATAATTTCCTCATATACTATTTTTACTCAGGAAAAGTACTTTAGGAAATTAGCCCTTTAATCCCTATAAAATCATATAATAACATATGTAGGCTTCCATCTCACCATCTCACTATCTCAAGTATTGAAGTGTTACTGTCTGATTCTAGTGGATCTAAATAGGGATATAAATGTAGATCGAGAGTCCGTGTGTGAAACGCGTTTGGCCCATTGCCACGCGTTTGAGCGCCACTTAGGGGGCACGTTTTTTCATGATTAACTTAGAACTTTTCCCCAATTAAAAAATTGCATTAACAATATGATATTATTGAATCCATAATTTCACTAAGATTTTTTTATTTAATTTTTGATATAATTTATGGGTTATTCATTTATTTTAATTTAATGATATTTATAGTTGTTAATAAATTTTAAAATAACCATTTCTAATTTCACTGAAATAAATAGATAATTATGTAAATCATATTAGAAAATTTTAAGTGATAATATTTATTGAGACAGTCTTCTTTCATATGTATGCAGAGTTAGATGTTGAGCCATACACAGTATTTAATAATATTTTTTTTAGATGCATATTCTAGTATATCGCTTTAAGATAATTATTTTTCAAAAAATATAAACAATAATATATACTTTTTCTAAGATATTTTCCAAAAGCACATTAAATAAAATCGTGGGACGGGATATTTTTCCCCGCGTAAGCTTTTATTTCAGTCGGTCGGTCAACTTTAACCTCCCCCGAGTTTGTAAAAATTTAATACCCCCACAAATTTGAGAAATATTACTCATTTCTCTATTAAGTCTACTTTTTAATTTATTGCTAACTAATGCGTCCGCTATGAGAAAAATATATAGGAGATAACTAATCATCATATTGACATGGTGAGATTATTCGATTATAATTGACCCCAAAAGTGTTGTGAGATTGTTATTGGTAAATCATGTTAGCAATTATCGTTAAGAAGGAAAATCGCCAAATATGTTGCAATATATGACTGGTTCTAATCGAAAGGTCTCACCACTTCAACGAGATAACATGGTGAGAATGTCCAATAAGATTATACCACATTAGTGTGATGAGGTCGTTATTGATAAACCATGACGGTGTTTATTGTTAATAGAGAAAATTACCAAATATGTGACGATATGTGATTGATTCTAATTAAAAGATCTCACCATTTCAGTATGATAATATCGTGAGACTATCTCATGTAAATAGTTCTTCTCTGTTATCATGTTGACGTTATGAGATCGTTTGATTATGATTCACTTCATAAATCTTAATTTTTAAAATCACCCCCTAAAGAGGTGGTTATTGTTGAAGTGGAAAATCACCACGTACATGTCAATACTCAATATATGACTGATTCTAATAGAAAAGTCTTACAACATCGACATGATCATATATAGTGAGATCTCATACTAATACGATGAGATTGTCTTATGTAAGTATTTCTCTTTTGTTATAAAAAATTAGTGGTGGATAATTGCAAGTTACAGGGAAATTAGTGATAATTTTCAAACTATTTGGAGTATTTTGAAATTATTAAAGTTAAGGAGGTTTAATTGGACTCCCCTTACTATTTAAGTTGCAGAATCCCCCCAGTTTGAACACAACACAACTCAAATCTAATCTAATCTCTCCTCTCATTTGTTTCAAAGAAACAAAAACAATGGCAACTTCCGCAACAAACTCAGCCAAAGAATCCAATACCGGCCTCGAACCACAGGTCTCCATTGACAGCAACGAAGAGCTTCAAAAAATCTTCAACCGATTCGACTCCAATGGCGACGGCAAGATCTCGCTCTCCGAACTCGGCGGCGTTCTGAAGGCCATGGGCTCCAACTACACAGAGACCGACCTCAAGACCGTAATGGAAGATCTCGACACCGACAAGGACGGATTCATCAATTTATCGGAGTTCTCCACCTTCTGTCGCTCCACCTCCGATTCCAACGGCGAAGCGGAGCTCCGCGACGCGTTTGACCTCTATGATCAGGACAAGAACGGCTTGATTTCCCATAAGGAATTGTATTCGGTGTTGAGTAGGCTGGGAATGAAGTGTTTGGAGGACGAATGTGTGAAGATGATCAAGTCCGTTGATTCGGATGGGGACGGGATGGTTAATTTTGCGGAGTTTAAGAAGATGATGACCGCTTCTATTACTAAAAAACCTGAGCCGTAAATTTTGATTTAGCGGTGATTGGGGTCTGTGCATGATCTATGCTTGTTTGCGTAACAAGGTATCGTTTTAGTCTCTCATCCGATAATGATAATGAATTTCGTGATGTATTTCGAAGGTTTGTGCAAGTTGAATGAAATGAAATTAATTTCATGTTTATTTTTCATTTTATTTGTGATATTTAAAGTATTAGCATTATTATTATTATTTTTATAGAGATCTATCTTGACTCTTGCTTTTTATATTGACCATAAATTTCTCATTAAATTTGATAAATGTTTCTTAAGTTTGTAGTTAGTTCCTCATAATGAAAATTTTAAATCAATAGAATTAATATGTATTCATCAAATCACCTGAAAATTATTTATTTTATAGAAAGTCTTTCATAATTCATACATTTATGTGCATTCAATCATTTAGTATCTCGATATCATGATAAATGGGTTTGCGTATATTCTTTTTAAAGTGGAGCTCAATCACAAATATAGCCATAATAATACATCCAATAATGATGTAAAATAAATACAATTTTTAACATAAGGTAACAATAGCATAATTTTTCATACAATTTTCTTTTATTTTGTTGGACATCAGATTTTTTTTTTAGGAATAATTTCGGTTTGGCAATTGAGAAAATGAAATTTGAATGAATTTAAAGAGAGATGGAGAGGAATAGAAGGGAGTGAAAGGTGTATAATAATTGAAAAATAGTAAATGCTTCTGGAAAATACATTAATGCGAGATTAAATTCAGTAGTAATACTATATTACCGACCCAATACCGATTTTTATAATCGACTCACTACCTAACAATTCAAATCTCAAAATTTAACTCAGAGTCAGTATGTCAAATCGGTCCTGGGTCGGTAAGCCTACATTACTGTAAATTCAGACCCACTCAAGGATTGTTGTCAACATCTGTTTTTAAAAGAAAGGAGCCGTTTTTTACACAGTTCAACTACCAGTGTAATTTATCAAATGGAAGTAATCATGCAATTATCAACTTAAATGAAAGTTGGTTAGTAGATTCAAAGTAGTTGTCCTATTCATAAATGAATAATAAAGTCACTACAGATCATTCACTAGTGTTAAGTGTTACGACCAGAAACTTGCCAACTATTCAAAAAACGACCTTATTAAATGGTGGTTTTTATCGATTTATAAGGGGTTATGACCAAACACTTTCAAATTGCCAAAAAAATCGATGATTTTTATCGTGTTATATTTCAAGATCTAATCCATGTTTTTCTGAGATTGGATTATAACCCCGTTAGGTTACTATAAATATATAACGGTTGGATTCGATAAGGGTCACAATATAATGTAATTGACATAACTTGGTTCTAACCTTCCACTTAAATCGGAGATACCAGATGAAAAATCAAACATGAAACATGTGTCTATCGATATTTTCTCCAATTTACTCAACCATCTACTTGGCTCCCAAAACTTTATCACATAAACTATATTTTCACTTTATTGTTGGGTGTGCAATGCATGAGTAAATGTGAAGGCATATATAATTTTTACTTTAGGGAGTTTCAAAAGATAACAATATTAATTGAAGGACTGTGGCAGAATCTACATGTTTTTATGGGCTCTTCTAACTCTTTGTGAGTTGTTTTTATTTCAACTCCATCCATGCCAACATTTCACATGGTATCCTTCTTTGGTAAGCATTCTGCATCCTTTAATTTTATTTTATTACACTTCAATAAACTTGTCTTACAAAGCTAAGTTGAGCAAATCTTGTATCGACACCTGTACATTTTTTGTTTGTTGTTAATAAGATTATACATCATTAACATGTTGGTTAACAGTATTAGGAGAAAAAACAATATCCATAGGAATTTTGTCCATGCTTGGCGATATATTCACCATGGTCTGTAACCCTAGTTTTGTTAAGAGATACTTTTGGATATTGGTTTTATATTTAAGTGATTTCTAATCTAATTCTTGAATACATTTAATACAATTAAATATTCAAGTACAATGAATATATTTAATTCAATTAAATATTGCACCCAAATACATTTAATTCATTGTGCATAATTTAATTGAATTAAATATCTGTGAAGAAATACTTTGTTTTTAAATATTATTTCACAAGAAATGTACAATGAATTTATAACAAAAATAAAAGACTAATCTAGGAAGATAGTCTTAATGAGAATAATCTTATTTCCTATTATACTTATCTAATTCTTAATAGCTTTGACATAACCTAATATAGAAGATAGCTTTAATGAGAATAATCCTATTTCCTATTTTACACTTCAACACTCCCCCCAAGCTGGAGCATATAAGTCATATGCACCCAGCTTGTTACAATAAAATCAAAACGAGAACCCTTGAGAGACTTAGTAAGGATGTCTAACTGGTCGTTGGACAATGACATAACTAGTTGCAATACACCCTGATAGAATTTTCTCTCGAACAAAGTGACAATCATTTCTATGTGTTTAGTCCTCTCATGAAACACTGGCTTTAAAGCAATAGAAGGGCAGCCTGATTACACAAAGTAACTTCATTTGTAGTACTTCGACAAATCTCAACTCTTGAATTAGTTGTTTTAACCAAACAAGCTCACAAGTGGCTAAGGCCATTGCACGATACTCTGCTTCAGCACTTGACCTTGAACAACCGTTTATTCTACTTTTCCATGAAACTAGGTTTCTCCAAAAGAACATAAAAACCTGGAGTAGAGCGTCTATCAGATGGAGAACCTGCCCAATCAGCATCTGAATATTGACAATATGTGAATGGCCCTTATTTTCATACAGTAAGCTCTACCTGGTGCTCTCTTGATATACCTTAAAATCGGACAACTGCATCCCAATGACTATCACATGGAGTTTGAAGGAATTAACTTACAACACTGACAAAAAAGGAAATACAGGTCGGTGTGATAGTAAGTAGTTAAGTTTTCCAACAAGTCTTCGATACCTTCCAGGATCAGCAAGAGGCTCCTCCTGTCTAGGTGAAAGTTTTAAATTGGATCCATAGGGAAGTCTATTGGTCTGCAATTGACATCCCGTTTCCTCTAGAATATCCATGCATACTCCTCTGAGAAATAACAATACCAAATTTGGACTAAGCGACTTCTATGCAAGAAAGTATTGAGTAGCCCTAAGTCTTTCGTCTGAAAGTGTTTGAACAAGTGTTGCTTCAATATCCAATGCCATCTTGATCACTCCTGTAAAATAATATCATCGACCTAGGTAACCAGATAGATACATTGCCTGGTGATGTATGTCTACAAAAAACAAAGTGATCAGACTCATATCGAATCATACCAAACTCTTGGATAACTGTACTAGTCGTCCAAACCAAGCACAAGGAGACTGTTTAGGCCATCTAGGAACGACAAAGTTTACATACCAAACCAGACTCCCCTGAACACAAAAACAGGACGTTGCTCCATATAAATATCTTCTTGAAGTTCACCATGAAGAAAGCATTTTTTATATCACATTGATTCATAGGCCAGTGGTGAATGGCAGCCATAGCAAAGAACAACCGAACGGAAGACATCTTAGCAACGGAGGAAAAAGTGTCAAATAATATGTCCCATGATCTGAGTGTATCCATTGGCCATCAAAAGGGCTTTCAGCCGATCAACCTTACCATCTGGACCAACCTTATAGTATAAATCCATCGACAACCAACAGTCGAATGGGGAGGTAAGGAAACTAACTCCCAAGTATGATTATGATGCAAAGCATACATTTCTTCAACCATTGCTTGACGCCACCCAGGGTGAGAAATTGCCTCATGAACAGTGCAAGGAACAGAAACATAAGAAAGGGTGGATACAAAGGCTAATATGAAGGATATAAACAATGATAACTCAAAAATTGTAGATCGGATGAGGGTTGCGTGTAACCGCATACCTTTACGAATAGCAATGGGAAACTGATCAGCTTGAGACAAGACCGTGGCATTGGAGGAATCGAGCACAGGACTTGTAGTGATAGGGTCTAAGGATAGTAGCAGGAACATCATGATCACCTGTAAAAGAACAAGACTATGGTTGACAGGAAGAGTGGTATTAGCAGTAGCTGAGGTACCGAAACAGATGAAGGTGGAAAAGCAATGTATGGAATTGGTGTAGAACATCTACTATCGGATCAGACTCTAATGTAGTGAGGAGAAAAAGGGAGAAGACTTAAAAAACGTAACATTCACAGAGATGAAGTAGCGATTGTGGACGGGAGAATAACACTTGTAGCCTTTCTGAAGACGTGAATACCCTAAGAAAATACACTTTGTAGACTTGGCTGACAGTTTATCCTGACCGGAGAGAAAATGTGAACAAAAACAGGTGCTCCCAAAGACACGTGGGGGAAGAGAAAAAATGGATGTCAGGGAATAATATGGAGTGTGGGACTTGGTCTTGTAAGACAGAAGAAGGCATGCGATTTATTAAGTAACAAGCGGTCAGAATAGCGTTAGCCCAAAAACAGAAAGGGACGTGGCTATGTAAAAGAAGAGTGCGAGCAGTTTCAATGAGGTGTCTATTTTACGCTCAGCAATGCCATTCTATGGGGACTATAAGCATAAGAAGACTGATGAAGAATTCCCTAAGATGACATGAATTAGTAAAGGAATCAGAGAAATATTCACGAGCATTATCACTCCATAATATACGAATGGTAGTATTATGTTGAGTCTTAATTAAGCACAAAATGATGAAAATATGGAAAATAATTCAGACAAGATCGCATAAGAAATAACCAAGTGCAACTGGAATAGTCATCAATAAAGGTAACAAAATATTTAAATCCCAAATTAGAGGTAAACACGACAAGGACCCCACACATTTGAATGCACTAACTCAAAGGGGGACGTAGCCCGTTTATTGACATGCTTGGAAAAGAACTACGAGTTGCTTTCCAAGTCGACATGACTCACAACTCAAGGATGATAATTTAGATAGACCTGGGATCATTTTCTGAAGTTTGGAAAGACTAGGATGGCCCAAACGATTATGAAGGAGATCGGAGATCGGAGACAGTGCATGCTGTAGATGGGATATGGAGATGATAGAGACCCTATGACTCATGTCTTGTGCCAATCATCCGTCGTGTCGCGGTCCTGTATAAATATAGAGTCAGTATCAAAACGAATAGAGTAATTTAAAGAGCGTGTAAGTTTACTGACAAACACGA